ATATGTTGCCTATGTTAATGTCGTGCTGGGGCACGATAACATCTGATGCTGTAATTTAATTTATATTAACTCTGCCTTACACAAAATTAACAAAAATGTTAATTATCAACACCGAAATATATATAAAAAAGAATTAGTGGATATCATAGTTTTAATAAGAAAATATATGAGTTACCTGATGGGAACCTTACAGCACGTTGCACTTAGGCTACTAGCTATTTAGATTACGTTTAATTATAGTGTAAAGAACAAGTATTAGCAAGTGCACATCAGTACAATACATACACTGTAAATTACCTCAGAACCAAAAAGCATTCAAGGCTAACATTGACCTTAGCGTCGTATCTTGGTTTAATTGATTGGATGGGGGCGGCATCGAAATTTCTACCCACAGTGAGTTTGTGAATGACCTGCACTAACATGTACGTAACCAGTGAGTCTGATGGTACGTAACAGTGGAGTCTGATTAGGACAGGTACAACACAGTGATGGTCTGAAGGGTAAGTACCAACACAGGTAACGAAAAAAGTCTAGTACTTTGGACGTAACAAGTGGGAGTCTGAGGTACGTACAACACGGATGGATGGTTGATGGGTACGGGTACGACACAGTGGAGGTCCTGATGCTACGTCAAAGGTGAGGTTTGATGGGTACTACAACACAGGTGGAGGTCTGATGGGTACGTACAACACAGGTGGAGGTCTGATGGGTACGTACAACACAGGTGGAGGTCTGATGGGTACGTACAACACAGGTGGAGGTCTGAGTACACGCACTTGAGACTGTACATAAACTTGCACTAGAGAACTGTTTTGCATGGTGATCTCAAAACTAGTATCCTCTACGGGGGTCAACGCCCCCGCGGTCCCGTCCATGGCCGGATCTCGTGGTGGTTTAGGACCTTATCAACCAGGCTGTTACTGCTGGACGCATGCAAACCAACGTACAAACCACTACCCGGCTGGTCAGGTACTGACTTTAGGTGCCTGTCCAGAGCCTTCTTGAAGACAGCCAGGGGTCTTGAAGACAGCCAGGGGTCTTGAAGACAGCCAGGGGTCTTGAAGACAGCCAGGGGTCTTGAAGGCAGCCAGGGGTCTTGAAGGCAGCCAGGGGTCTTGAAGGCACCAGGTCTAAGAACAGGGGTCTTGAAGGCAGCCAGGGGTCTTGAAGGCAGCCAGGGGTCTTGAAGACAGCCAGGGGTCTTGAAGACAGCCAGGGGTCTTGAAGACAGCCAGGGTCTTGAAGGCAGCCAGGGGTCTTGAAGGCAGCCAGGGTCTTGAAGGCAGCCAGGGTCTTGAAGGCAGCCAGGGGTCTTGAAGGCAGCCGGGGGTCTTGAAGGCAGCCACGGGTCTTGAAGACAGCCAGGGGTCTTGAAGACAGCCAGGGGTTTTTAAAGGGCAGCCAGGGTTGAACACAGGGGGTTTTGAAGGCACCAGTTTTGAATCAGCAGGGTCTTGGGAAACATATTCTTAAAGACACAGGGTCAGAAGGGAATAGTCTTGAAGGGATGAGGAGGGGTCCTAAAAGGGCACCCAGAGGTATTGAAGAAGCCAGGGGTCTTGAGGAGAGGAGTCTTGTAGACACCAAAGGTTGAAGACACCCGGGGCCAAGGAGCCACGGGTCCGACCCCCGCAACCAGGTTTTGAAGACAACCTAGGTGTTACAGCCAGGGGTCTTGAAGGGACAGCCAGGGTCTTGAAGGACAGCCAGGGTCTTAAAAGACAGCCAGGGGTCTTGAAGGCAGCCAGGGGTCTTGAAGGCAGCCAGGGGTCTTGAAGGCAGCCAGGGGTCTTGAAGACAGCCAGGGTCTTGAAGACAGCCAGGGGTCTTGAAGGCAGCCAGGGGTCTTGAAGGACAGCCAGGGTCTTGAAGGACAGCCAGGGGTCTTGAAGACAGCCAGGGGTCTTGAAGGACAGCCAGGGGTCTTGAAGGCAGCCAGGGGTCTTGAAGGCAGCCAGGGGTCTTGAAGGCAGCCAGGGGTCTTGAAGACAGCCAGGGGTCTTGAAGGCAGCCAGGGTCTTGAAGACAGCCAGGGGTCTTGAAGGCAGCCGGGGGTCTTGAAGACAGCCAGGGTCTTGAAGGCAGCCAGGGGTCTTGAAGGCAGCCAGGGGTCTTGAAGACACCCAGGGTCTTGAAGATAGCCAGGGGTCTTGAAGACTGCCAGGGGTCTTGAAGATAGCCAGGGGTCTTGAAGATAGCCAGGGGTCTTGAAGATAGCCAGGGGCCTTGAAGATAGCCAGGGGTCTTGAAGACAGCCAGGGGTCTTGAAGACTGCCAGGGGTCTTGAAGACTGCCAGGGGTCTTGAAGACTGCCAGGGGTCTTGAAGATAGCCAGGGGTCTTGAAGATAGCCAGGGGTCTTGAAGACAGCCAGGGGTCTTGAAGATAGCCAGGGTTGGTCCCGTCTTGAAGAAGCCAGGGGCCTTGAAGACAGCCAGGGGTCTTAAAGACAGCCAGGGGTCTTGAAGACTGCCAGGGGTCTTGAAGACTGCCAGGGGTCTTGAAGACTGCCAGGGGTCTTGAAGACTGCCAGGGGTCTATTGGCAATCCCCCTTGTGTACTCTGGGAGGCACACATTGTAAATTATTAATTATCTCGTAACTTGCATCTTTTTTTTTTTCAGATTCGTATTAATCCAGGTACTAGATATATAGATTTTGAGACCAGATTAACTTTTGTCTGAAATACAGTGTATTATATGGGTCCTTATATTATTGTATCTTTTGAAATACAGTAATTTTTATAAATATAAACTTGAATTTGAACATCATCTGTACACTTAAGAGATGCGACTTGTTGTTTTAAGGAGCATTCTTGCCTGCACATGTCAAAGCCTATCCTAGAGCAAGCCACTTCAAGAATAGGAGCTAAAAGGTACGTAATGAATGAAGCTACAAAAAGGGAGGAGAGTGATTTCATGTATCAGTAACATTCATGTACCTGAATGGTTTTGAAAACCGACAAATTGAAGAATTCATTTACCTGTTATTATAAGTTGATCCTCTCTTTAATGTTAATGTAAAAAACTCAATTTACATTATTTCTAGAATGTCTATCTCATTTTTTTTGTAACTGATCTTCACACAGTTGACTTACTTAGCTGTTTTATCTTTTAAGATAAATAATAAGAAATAACAAGGACCCCAGTGGAAATAAGTCACTTTGTCTGACTTTTTTTTGGGGGGAGGGGAGGCTATCCTAGGTAATTTACACTATGTATGATAACTACTTCTGTTTTCCTGTTCCTAAATAATCTTACTGATAGCATTGGCGAGACGGCCTATTGCAGTGCCTCTCTTTTCTTATGTTGTAACTCTGGTTACCACACGTTAATCAATCATGACTTGTAAACACTAACTACTCTTAATGTTCCATACAGCCACTAATGAGGACCTTCCATAATGACAACAAAAGAACTGGGCAAACTATATACAGTTACGGGACAACTGGAACAGAAGTTGACCCACAGGCGGAGACGGTCAACATTCACTGCCCAGACGACACCACACCCAAGTTCTGTGACCAGTGATTAGTGGACCATAATAAATGATAGCATGGACCATGGTCACTGATGGTGCAGATCATGGCCACATAAAGCGTGGACCACCAACACACGCTGACTGCTGTCTTAGGGTAGTAAATACAAAGGTTTATCTTCAAAAATCACTACAATTTGGCCAAAGTACAAATGCATTTTGATGAAGATTCAAATCGTAGCTGAAAAAAAAAATGAGTGAAACTTACAAGTAATAAGTAATTGAGCTAATGCATCTGACCACCCCAGCAGGTTGCCATGGTTAATTTTACCTTCTTGGATGAACACCTTCCACCCGCCTGAGTTATCTTTCTAATGCTCTCAACAGTATTCTTCCCTTTCTCTTCCCCACTACCAGAGAGCAGCCATGGAAGGTGTTGGGTGCAGTGAGAGAATTAAATCCCATGTTATTTTATGTTCGATCATCTATTGTATTGTGTTGTTGTTGTGATCTGGGACTTCAGAGAGTACAGTGTTGTTGTTACTCTGTCTTTCCTCACTCCTACAACCATAATAAGCCATCCATTGAACCATTGGAGGGGCAGCCAGAATTTACTTCCTACTTGTACAATTTTATCTATATATTTCACTGTAGAAGTCCAGACTTCCAGTCGCCACTCTGTCAATACATGTACTCAGGGATAGTAATAGCGAAGCCCTTGTCTCCAGAGAGGTGAAGGCAGGGGGATGGTGACTGAGAATCTGGACCACATGCCTATAATGTAGACTAAGATTACATAATACTTCAGCAACACCTCCGTCCTTGTGTTAACAATGATTGCTTATGAAACTTGAGTCAAACTTAAAAAAGAAAACTTAGTTGTGAAATTACAGAAGATAAGACAAAGGCTGGGCAAAAATGGTTTTCGTGTGGCAAAGAGGAGCCAAAGGCAATCAATGGAGAAATAACATTAACTGGAAGTCCTCTTACAGAAACTCTTGATCTTACAGCTAATGGAAGGAGTGTATCTTTGTAACTCTAGGTGTATATGGTGGCCACCCGGATGGCAACACTGTCTGGGGCCAAGGACGGGGTCAAATGTAGGACCCCCACCAGGTTTGGGACTCCCACCAGGTGTGGGACCCCCAGCAGGTGTGGGACCCCCAGAAGGTGTGGGACCCCCAGCAGGTGTGGGACCCCCAGCAGGTGTGGGACCCCCAGCAGGTGTGGGACCCCCATCAGGCATAGGACCCCCAAACAAGTGTGGGACCTCCATCAGGTGTGAGACCCCTACAGATGTTGGTCCTACCACAGGTAAGTACCGCCACCTCGCAACACGTGTCCGTAAATACATCTAGTAGACCTGGTCCTAAAATTTTGTTCAAAATTCTCAATAAAATTTAAACAACATACAAAATGAGTATACAGTGTAATTATATATATATATATATATATATATATATATATATATATATATATAATATATATATATATATATATATATATATATATATATATACACACACACACAGAATAAACTACATGGGGACTGATAATGTCACAATAACATGAAAGCATTTGAAAGTAAAATCAGTATTAAAATAGCCTAATTTAGAGAGGACTCGATACAATGGTCCAGTCTGGACTGTTATCAAATCACAATTATGGCTTTATATTAGTGCAAGACGGACCAAAACGTTGCCCCAATTTTTTTTTTCAAAATTATGGGTTTGTTGTGAAGTGTTTCAACGTCACACTGTTGTTTGTTAGTAATAAATTTTGTTGTAGCCACGGTAATGTGATTTTTAAACGTAGATATGGACCCCAGTATCATTGCAACACATCAAATGACCTCTCAGCGCTAGAATGGTTGCAATGGTACCATATTGTAGTCTCTGAAAACTGTAGTTTTTATCATACTCAGCCTACAGTTGTCTTGGTACTGGCTGAGGTCACTACATAATGGGTGAATATACTGCTCTCATACTGATAATATCTTCAGGAATCTTTCATTGTATTGTGGACTGTTCCAGACCCGCGCAGTAGTTAACAAGAACTTACTGTGCACTCATTAATGTATACAACATGATGCTTGTGTGTTGAGAGGGTAGCAAATTTGGTTAGTCATCTTTAAACTCGGGGAGGCTCTCAAGCTTCCACCACTGACCCAGTTGTTGTCGCTTTGCCTTAGCAGGTAGCAGGAAACTGAGCAGACATTGATGTAGTCACGATCATCTGCTGATGGCAGGTCGAACCTGCCATCGGGTCTGACCTGCTGGTGGTGATAGGTCCGCCCTCCTACTGCTGGTGGCATATACGGCCTGTTACTACAGGTAATGGTAGATCAGAACTGATGGTGGTGATAGCAGGTCCAACCTGCTGGAGGTGGCAGCAAGCCTGGCCTACTGTTTATAGCAGACCTATCCTGCTGGTGGCCGCAGCGGTAACTTGCTGGTAGCGGCAGGGACAACCTGCTGGTAGTGGTGACAATCCCGGCCTGTTGGTGGATCCAAGAGCAAACTGCTGGTGATGTCAGTTCCTACGTGCTACTGCTGTGGTGGTAGCAGGAGCTTCCCTGAGGCTAGCGACACATCCTGGGCTGACATTCAGTAGGTTAGAGCCACCATTGAAACACCAAAATCTCCTTCCGAATAACATAAGAATCTAGCTAGTTTACTTTCGGCCTAGCTACATATACAAGGCTAACAACGTATTGCCTGTCTGGACGACGGGAGATCTCTCTCAAGTTCTGTATCACCATGAAGGCTGCTGGTGCTGACTAACCCTTACAAATGGAAGAACTGTTCACTTCCCCGTTGAGGGGGCTACACTTCACAAAGGAAAACAAATACAAGGTCTATTTTCGACCAACGGTAAGATCATCGAAATCACCTCCAGGGTCTGTCCAAGTCAATGCACCAAGGTTTGTTAATAAAAATATGCTTTCAACATGTATTATTGCGGCAGTCTCGCTCGAGTGTTTGGACTTATAAAGCTGTGAGTGTAAGCGTGTGGCAGCTGTGCCTGATGGAGCAGAGAAGCTTTCCACCGTCCCTCGCAGGGAACACAAATTACTGTTCCTTACAGGAACTCTCATTACCAAGACTCGACTGAAGGCGAGGAGCAAGGGAGGAGTACAGGCAGTACTCCACTTGACTTACATAATGTACTGTATAACGAACACACGAACGAGAAAGATATGTATTGCGATGCCTACACTACGAGTGACCCTTGTTGCCCACGAGTCTGAGCAAGTGGCTAGGTCAAGCGGGGTCAGCGCCCCCTGGAGGAGAGACTCTCTCACAACCATAGCCCACTCATCACACTCCAACACATGTGTTATAACATATATTTTGCACTGAGCAACGTACCTCCACTAATGTGAAAAGCTTTTGTTGCCACTATTGTAATCTTTGATATTCTTTACCTTCAAATCTTTTCTTGAGCGCCTTGATCTTGCTCTCCCCCTTTGTTTGTTTCACTCTTTTATCATTTGTCTCAGTTTTCTTATCACTATTTTCCTTTCTTCTCACTCCTTTAGTATCGGCTTCTTTCTTTTTCGAGTTGGTCGACTTGTTCGACTTGACAGTGCCTGTGCTCTTGCCTGATGTGGTGCTCTTGGTGGAGGCATTGCTTCTCGTCGACACTGAACTTTTACTGGACATTCCGCTCTTTACAGATACGCCACTCTTGACGGAGGAGGCGCTCTTTACAGAGGAGGCGCTCTTATACGAAGTGTTACTGTGTACCGAGGAGTTACTTCTGACGGAGGTGCTGCTGGCGAGGGAAAGATTGCTTTTGAGTGAAGACGCAGAGCTTGACGACGCTCTGCGACCCATGCCAACAAGAGACTGCTTGTCAGGAGTGCTCCTTGTACTGGATGCTTCAGATGGGGACGCTGACGGGGACCTAGAGATGACCCGGTCGTGCAGGCTACTAACTGACGCCCCACTGCCCCCTGCAGGAACGGCTACAGCTGTCACCGCCACAACTGCAGCCATGGCTGTAGGGGACCTGGCCGGAGACGGGGAAGGCGATGAGGATGGGCTGGGCATCCGTGGAGAAACACCGTGATGCTGCTCGATCTGGCTCACTAGTTTTTGGGCACACCTGCACAGGGAAAGTCAGTGTTAGTTATGGTGGGTGGGAGAGACCGAGGCAGGTGTTCCCTCACTGCTTTAACAGAAACACAGAAATCTCTACCTTCTAGTGGATTAAAAAAACATTCATAATCTCTCATATTTTTTTATCAACACTAGCTTTCTTAACTCGGTACAGTAATTACGTATCAACCATTAACCTACAATACTAAGTGAATGTTTTTACATGTTTTATCGGATTATAAGCATTGTTAATATTGAAGACATAGGTGCGTGAATCATTTTCTAAGGGGCATCCGGACTATGCTCACAAAAATGCATATGCAGATCAGAAAAAGGATCAATTTAAAAAAATAGCTTTTTAATATACACGAAATGTGAGTTTTAACTTTTTTTATCACAGTGAAACAACAACGGAATTCCAATTATTTAAAAAAAGTGCATTTATTAAGAGTGGGAGAAACTACAGTGATTATTAGAAGAACGTCAATGAGTATGGAAGGGAGGCGGCTCGTAAGACTGCTTCATGCTGTGAGTGGTGGTATTAGTAGTAAGTAGTAGTAGTAGTGGTGGTGGTGGTGGTGGTAGTGGTGGTGGTGAAAAATCTTAAGAATGGTAACAAACTCATGCTCCATGCTACGAACCGGAAAGTCTCTCTAAGAGTGAACAAGTGAAAGGTTATTCTGCAGCTTCACTCTGAGTCTGTGTTCTCCTGTGTTGCTGTGTGAGTCGTATAGAGACGGGCAGTGACCGACCTTCAGGGAGGTATTGGTTGAACTTACTAACTAGTGCAGTAGCTGAACTTCCTGGGGGAGACACTGATTGAACTTGGTAATTAGGGCAGTAGCTGAACCTGTTAAGGGGACAGTGACTGAATCTGTTGAGTGGGGAGCTGTTTAACTTGCATCAAGAAAACGTTTTTGAGAAATAAGGAACAGTTTCTTGTGTAAATCGAGATATTTACGGTAACGGGAATATCTTTATGTCTTCATTTAAAAAAAAGAGTAATTGCCACTATGTGGCAGTCACTGTACACACCTCTCAGGAAATTTCCAAATGATACGTGAAACAGTAAAAAAAGTGACCGTTCTTTATTTACGTGTTATATTGTGAAAGCTGCAGAATTTCCTTGCTTTTGTTGGACGTATATATAGCCTGTTTATAAATATATCACACCAAAAAATATAACTCCTGAGGTGAATATGACTTCTAGCTATGTCTGGGAGTATAATGCTCTCAGGTAAAGTGACAACCGTCTCCTGAAAGAGACACAAGATGAACTCTGTAAACATTACTGTGCATCTGTGTGTACCTACACAAGATGTGAGCGCACGACAACCATGAGCCGAGAAGTTTGAGCGCAGACAAGCAGTATTAATGGAAGTTGTGACAGAGGTAGTGTAGAGGTTTAATGTTCCAACACTGAACACTGAATCGACCCCGGCAACCACTTAACTCTTTTTCTGGTAGCATCAAGAGTTCGCCAGAACCCAGATGGTGAACGGTTTGCAGGAGTTACCCTCTCACTCTCCCCTCGCCTTCCATTGTCTTACAAAGCCCTGCATAGGCCACAAGGAGAGCTTGTTGAGCAACTGAGTAAACTTTGGTGAAGAACTGTGCATATACATGATACATTGTATGAATCCTGGAGCACCCGTAAGTATGTTTGTACATCATATTAATAATTGCAAAAATAAATGTCATATAATTTGTGTACGTGAGTAAACTAAAGGGAATGAATGCTAAAGTGCTTGGCCTCTCTCATCTAGGAACAAAATGGCCTGCAGGAACTAATGTTGACAGTGAACTGGACAAACTAGACGGGGGTGGACCTTCCATGTCATAACTTTACCTTATTCTGGTGGAGCAAGACTTCTCTTTCTCCAGTTCCTTCTCAGTGATGAACTCTGTGTACTCCTTGATGGTGGGCAGCCGACCCATCGTCTCCTGCGAACACATACTTTGTTGGGACTCTGGTCGTCTTTTTCAGAAGTTAATTATACAGAGAGTTTAAACACACACACACACACACACACACACACACACACACACACACACACACACACACACACACACACACACACAGTGGGAACAGGAGTTGGTAGGAAAATCAGTAAACGAAATGATGGACTTCGTAACAACAAAATGCAAGGAGGCAGAGGAAAGGTTTGTTCCTAAGGGTAACAGAAATAACGGGAAGGACAGAACGAGCCCTTGGTTTACCCGAAAGTGCAGGGAGGCAAAAACTAAGTGCTCTAGAGAATGGAAAACGTACAGAAGGCAAAGGACTCGGAAGAATAAAGAGATTAGTCGACGAGCCAGAAACGAGTATGCACAGATAAGGAGGGAGGCGCAGCGGCAGTATGAAAATGACATAGCATCGAAAGTGAAGTCTGATCCGAGACTACTCTACAGCCACATCAGGAGGAAGACAACAGTCAAGGACCAGGTAATCAGGCTGAGAAAGGAAGGTGGGGAGCTCACAAGAAACGACCAGGAGGTATGTGAGGAGCTCAACATGAGATTTCAGGAAGTATTTACAGTGGAGGCTGAAGGGACAACAGGAAGACAAAACAGTGGGGTACAGCAACATGGGATATACCAACAAGTATTGGATGAATTACACACAACTGAGGAGGAGGTGGAGAAGCTCCTAAGTGACCTTGATACCTCAAAGGCGGTGGGACCGGACAACATCTCTCCATGGGTCCTTAGAGAGGGAGCAGGGACACTGCATGTGCCACTAACCAAAATCTTCAACACTTCCCTTGAAACTGGGCAACTACCTGAAGTATGGAAGAAGGCAAATGTAGTCCCCATCTTTAAGAAGGAATACAGAAATTATAGACCAGTGTCACTGACATGTATAGTATGCAAAGTCTTGGAAAAGATTATCAGGAGGAGAATGGTGGAGCACCTGGAGCGGAACAAGATTATAAACGACAGCCAGCATGGATTCATGAAAGGCAAATCCTGTGTCACAAACCTACTAGAATTTTATGACAAGGTAACTGAAGTAAGAAATGAGAGGGAGGGGTGGGTTGATTGCATTTTCTTGGACTGCAAGAAGGCCTTCGACACAGTTCCTCACAAGAGAATAGTACAAAAGCTAGAGGAACAGGCACGTATAACAGGAAGGGCACTGCAATGGATCAGAGAATACCTAACAGGGAGGCAACAGCGAGTCATGGTCCGTGATGAGGTATCACAGTGGGCGCCAGTGACGAGCGGGGTCCCACAGGGGTCAGTCCTGGGACCAGTGCTATTCTTGGTATATGTGAACGACATGACGAAAGGGATAGATTCAGACGTGTCCCTATTTGCAGATGACGTGAAGTTAATGAGGAGAATTAAATCAAACGCGTATCAGAGAGGTCTACAAAGAGACCTGGACAGGCTGGATGTGCGGTCCAGAAATTGGCTCCTAGAATTTAACCCCCCCAAATGCACAGTCATGAAGATCGGAGGAGGGCAAAGAAGACCGCAGACAGAGTATAGGCTAGGAGGTCAAAGGCTGCAAACCTCACTAAAGGAGAAAGACCTAGGAGTGAGTATAATACCGAGTACATCGCCAGAAGCACACATTAACCAGATAACTGCTGCGGCATATGGGCGCTTGGCAAACCTGAGAATAGCGTTTCGGTACCTCAGTAAGGAATCGTTCAAGACTTTATACACTGTGTACGTCAGGCCCATACTGGAGTACGCAGCACCAGTTTGAAACCCACATCTGGTCAAACACGTCAAGAAATTAGAGAAAGTGCAAAGGTTTGCAACAAGGCTAGTCCCAGAACTAAGGGGAATGTCCTATGAAGAAAGGTTAAGGGAAATCGGTCTGACAACACTGGAGGACAGGAGGGTCAGGGGAGACATGATAACGACATACAAAATACTGCGTGGAATAGACAAGGTGGACAGAGACAGGATGTTCCAGAGATGAGACACAGAAACAAGGGGTCACAATTGGAAGCCGAAGACTCAGATGAATCAAAGCGATGTTAGGAAGTATTTCTTCAGTCATAGTGTAGTTAGGAAGTGGACAGTCTGGCAAGCGATGTAGTGGAGGCAGGAACTATACATAGTTTTAAGACGAGGTATGATAAAGCTCATGGAGCAGGGGGAGAGAGGACCTAGTAGCGGTCGGTGAAGAGGCGGGGCCAGGAGCTGAGTATCGGCCCCTGCAACCACAATTAGGTGAGTACCCACTCACACACACACGCAGACACATACAATCGCACAAGCTGACACATATACACACGCACACGCAGACCACATCACAGAACAGCAGGAGGCCAAGATAAGAGTATGATGAGAGTAATAGAGGGAAGGTTGACACGCTGGCTAAAGTGTTATGAAGGGCTCATGCGAGCAGGGCAGAGCTACTGGTCATGGGTGACTTCAACCACAAGGAAATCGATTGGGAGAACTTGGAGCCACATGAGGGCCAAGATACATGGAGGGCTAAGATGATGGAGGTGGTACTGGAAAACTTCATGTACCAACACGTAAGAGACACTACCAGAGAGAGAGGAGAGGATGAACCAGCAAGACTGGACCTAGTATTCATCTGGAGTAGTGCAGATATTGAAGACATCATATATGAAAGACCCCCTGGGGCCAGCGATCATGTGGTTTAAAGATTCTAATAAACAGTAGTTACAAGTGGAGGGGGAAGCAGGAAAAGCCGGACGAATGAAGCCAAACTACAAGAAAGGGGACTACACGGGAATGAAGAACTTCCTGAACGGGGTTCAGTGGGACAGAACTGGCAGGGAAGTTACTGAAGGAGATGATGGAATACGTGACAACAATATGCAAGGAAGCTGAGGAGAGGTTTGTACTCAAGGGTAACAGGAATAATGACAAAGCCAGGATGAGCCCATGGTTCACCCAAAGGTGCAGGGAGGCAAAAACCTCACTCAAGGAAAAAGATCTTGGGGTGAGTATAACACCAGGCACATCTTCTGAAGCGCACATCAACCAAATAACTGCTGCAGCATATGGGCGCCTAGCAAACCTCAGAACAGCATTCCGATATCTTAATAAGGAATCGTTCAGGACCCTGTACACCGTGTACGTTAGGCCCATATTGGAGTATGCGGTACCAGTCTGGAACCCACACCTAGCCAAGCACGTAAAGAAACTAGAGAAAGTGCAAAGGTTTGCAACAAGACTAGTCCCAGAGCTAAGAGGTATGTCCTACGAGGAGAGGTTAAGGGAAATCAACCTGGCGACACTGGAGGACAGGAGGGATAGGAGGGACATGATAACGACAGATAAAGTACCGAGAGGAATTGACAAGGTGGACAGAGACAGGATGTTCCAGAGATGGGACTCTGCAACAATGAGACACAGTTGGAAGTTGAAGACACAGATGAATCACAGGGATGTTAGGAAGTATTTCTTCAGTCACAGAGTAGTCAGGAAGTGGAACAGTTTGGGAAGCGATGTAGTGGAGGCAGGAACCATACATAGCTTTAAGCAGATGTATGATAAAGCTCATGATGCAGGGAGAGTGGCCCAGTAGCGGCCAGTGAAGAGGCGGGGCCAAGAGCTATGACTCGACCCCTGCAACCACAACTAGGTGTGTACAACTAGGTGAGAGTACACACACAACACCACACACACACACACACACACACACACACACACACACACACACAGGCGGGACCAAAAACTTAAGATTCAGGAGAGAATGAAGGTCATTCAGGAGAGGATCAAAGAGCATCTTAAGGGAGGGAAGTAAAAATGACTGTCAGGACAGAGATGTCGGAATGGGAAAGATTAACTAGCGGGGTTCCGCAAGGATCGCTACTAAGACCAGTACTGTTTCTGGTATATGTGAATGACATTGCGAATAGCACTGATTCAGATATATCCCTGTTCGCTGATGATGTGAAACTAATGAAGAGAATAATAACAGAGGAGACAAGGAAAGGCTTCAAAGGGATCTACACAAACTGCAAGATTGGTCAGGTAACTGGTTGCTTGAATTTAACACCAATGAATGCACGGTCATGAAGACTTGGGAATGAACAAGACGACCGGAAACGAGGTATAGACTAGAGGGACAGAGGCTGCAGACTTCATTCAGAAAGGAAGACCTAGGGGTAAGCATAGCGCCAGGTATATCACCAAAGGTTCACATCAGCTAATGCTCGTCTGGCATATCTAAGAATAGCCTTCAAAAATCTCAACAAACAGTCATTCAGGGTCCTTTATATAATACACCCATCTTGGAGTACGCAGCACCAGTATGGACCTCGCATCTAAAAAACGTTTTAAGAAACTGGAGAAAGTGTAGAAGTATGCAACAAGGGTTGTTCTTAAGTTGTTCTTGAGTTAAGGGTCATGAGATACCAGGAGAAGCTAAGGGAATCGGACCTAATAACACTGGAGGACAAAAGAACTAGGGGGACATGATAACTACAAACAAAATACTCAGGGAAACTGATAAGATAGACGAAGATAGACGAAGAAAGATGCTTGAGAGGTAAGAGATGAGAACTCTTAGACATAACTGGAAGTTAAAGTCACAGCCCAGCTAGAAGGATGTTAGGAAGCATTTCTTCAGTCTCAGAGTGATGGGGAAGCGGAATGATTTTGATGAGGGAGTGGTGGAGGCAGACTCCATACATAGTTTTAAGAACTGGTACGATAGTGCCCATGAGGCTCAGAGGGAGTGAACCTAAATAGTGTAAAGTTAAGAGGCGGGGCCAGGAGCTGAGAATCAACCCCTACAACCATGAAATGGTAAGTACAAATAGGTAAGTACACA